AAAATCTTAAGCATTTATTACGTCGGTTCCACTTACTGTACACATGTGATATGCAACGCGACGATGAATCCCCCGTCCTACGTTTTTCTATCTTTTCTCTTTAGTAAATTCTGTGAATGCGGTATCGCTCGCCTAGCCGGCCGACGTTGAGAACTCTTCGACGATGTCTTGGCGTCGATCGCGACAGTCAATCAAAGAACAGAAAAGACGGGAAGTGTTCCGTCATCCATCGATCGATGTTTTCTATTTCGGTATTGCGACAGAGGAGAGAAACGAAATGAGTAACCAGGCGACGATTAAATTAAATGCCATACACTCGGACACATTTACACATTTACACTCGTAAGACGTAACCGCCGTGGCCTATACTAGTACACTCTCGATACACGCGTACACGTTTACATAGCACTCGCATACTTCGTTGTATTCTACATACATGAACGCATACACATATGTACACATACGCATCGGGACAGAGAAGTAGAACAGAGGAGAGTTGTAAGGTCGATATGGTGCTAGGACGATCACACACCCTGGTGCTTCAATTTCTGTATCCACAGAGCCATGCGCGTAAAACAATTCGCACGGATCGCCAGCAGTCTTCGTCGAGGGGTCTTAGAGATACGTCCTGACGTCGTGAACAGGATACACCGTGATCGAACATATTTCCCCCCCCCCGCTCCCCTCTTCCTCACTCCCTCTCTCCCTCGCTCCCTCCCTTCCTCGTCCGCGGGTACCCGAGTACCCGAAGGGACGTTAGCAGTTAGTCGTCGAGCACGTTCCCGGAGATTCGCGGACCCGACCCGGGGTCGTTACGAGATTATGGGGAACGTCGGAGTTGTGATCCATGGACGGAAATATGTTGGAGCTAACGCGTTCTGTGTTTTGGCGCACGATGCTAACAAATGTACCTGCATTTTAGAGATCGGGATTACAAATCGGTCGGCCGTTGGCGTCGTCGCGCGTCGGGCCACTGCGCGCCACTGATCTCCCGTTAAATAATTAAATGTACCATAATACTATTGTAAAATAGAGGAGTGGCCGACGGGCAGAGCAAGAGGCCGACCAAAAATGATCACTCGCGTAGGGTGTGGGCAACGGTGAGATTATTAAGGAAGAAAGAAAAAAAGAAAACTAAAGATAAAAATTCGACGAGACGCATCTCGCGAAGAGGTGAAACGGCGATCCGAGCGCGATCTCGTCCTCAACGTCCATTTAACTGAACCCAAGCGAGCAGCTATACTTAAATTGAAATTAAGCGTTTTAAAAGCGAGTCTAACGAACGATATTAAAGCGATATAAATAATTTATAAATCGACTGATTACTTATGCGCGAGCGAGAGAGAGAGAGAGAGAGAGAGAGAGATTGAGATAGCGATAGAGGAAGAGGAAGGAATACTGTAAAACGTTTCGCGACAGAGGTTGATTTAAAACTGTAATTAATTCAATGTTAAGCCGATACATTCGATACGTACCTACACGCGAGACACACTTGTATACAGAGAACACGTTTGTACATGAAGATACACTAGATAACTTCGATGTATATTGATATACACTACGTGCTAAGTCTAATAATTGTTAAAGCGAATTGTTAAAAACGAAATCTCGGCGATTTTCAATCTTCCGTTCACCTTCTGTCACTCTTTCAATTTCACGGTACTAACAACAGTTCTCCGGTACGTCGCATCGTCGTCCTTCCCGTATCCGGTTCCTCGCAAGAGTCATTTCCTAATTTTCGCTACGCCTCTATCATCTCCCCCGTTCCTCTTCTTGTTCTTTCTCATTTCGTACAAAACAACGAGCAATATTACTTTAACGATGCGGAGGATCTAAGAAAAGACGAACGCGTCGAACTCCGATGATCCGCGAACCTTAAACATGAGCGAACATTTTTCTACACCTTGAGTGTCACGTCGTAACCGATTTAAAAAGAAGTCTAGTTTTTGTATATCCTCAAACCAACGTACAGAGCATCATCGGCATAAAATCATTTATGGATCGAGCGCGAACACTCGGAAGCGAAGAAGAATGTTGTCATGTTCGATAGGCCCGCGGTCATTAGGTATCTCTGCTACGGATTCAGTTTACGCGCGGAGGTGTGTTCGGACACGAAGTACGTTCATACATAGTGTCACAGAACACACGACGCGATCGAGCTCAGCGTGCGAGATTCTAACGAGAAGTACACGCGCTCGATGCCAACGTGCGCGTAGCGATTTAGGAAACGTCGTTCTCTCGCAACGACGACGGCAAACACCCACGCGAGCATCCACGGGACGCGCCGGCGTAAGTTAGATTGTTCAAAAATTCGTCCATCGCGTTGGAGCGTCTCGCGGGTGCATCGACGGCGATCGCAGGACATGCTAAATTTAGTTTATTTTCGAATGCCTGATGACAGATAATTGGTAGACGGTCCTGTACGTTCGGTGTCGTGGAACTTTGCGTTCAGAAACGTGCGAGAGGACGACGGACCGGGTTCCCGACGTGGCCGCGTGTGCTTCGACGTTGCGCGCGTTCAGACACGCGAAAGCGAAGAAGACGACGCTCGGGCGGACGGGGGGATGGGGTTTTGTGTGCTACGGACACTTCTACGGGGATTATTAAGCGAGAGACGGAGGATGGGTTAAAACGAGAATATACGTTGTAAATAGTATAAATAGAACGCGCAGAAGTACGTTTAAGCGGAAATAAAAAGATGATATAATAGATATAATGTGGAGAAAATATACATATAAGATATTATTATATATTATATATAAACAAGAAGTATATATATAAGATTATTATATATATTTACCGTGGTAAGTGATATAAATGAGAGGCGGTGACACGGGGACTCGCGGGAACCTCGTCGAGCATCGTTTCGGATGACGCGTTCCACCCGCCGATCGCTCACGGATGGCCCACGTGATACTCACTTCGCGCATCCCGGAGGATATCGCGTCCCCCTTTCGCGCGATCAGCTGACCGGACCGTTCATCCGTTTTCCATAAAACGTTCTTCCAGATCGTTTTTACTTACCGAACGTAGATATCGATGCAATTGTTGCGCGTATACAGATCTATTTTACTTCTTCAGACCCGACCGGTCAGCCGCGTATGTGACACGATAGCCTCGGCAACTGCGCGTTTAACTCTCCGTCGATGAAATTCTAATTCGGGTCAAAGCGTGTAAAACGTTTTTTAAAATGCAATTGCCTTTTCTTTTAATAATTGTCATACGTCGACTCGTCGCGAGAAAATTAAAAGTTCGATCGTACTCTTTCAACGAATCCGCACAAGTTGTGAACGTAACTATTTGATGTAATAAATGAATGGAAATTTTCTAAAGAATTGGGTCGTCGCGAGGACCTACGATTAAGTTCCTATTTGCACGACGCGTAATCGAGAATCAGATCTCGGGTTGAAAGAACAGTCAATGAATCCGGCGTGGGCCATCCGGGGAATGCAACGACGATCGGGGTCGAAGAGAGGACGTGGGGCGGGTGGTCGAGAGTCGGTTAGTTAGATCGGGAACGATTGTCCTGAGGATTTACGGGAGTCCCGTGGTGACCGCGAACCTAGAACAGGCGGGAGGAACACACGAACATTGTACATTGTAAATAGTAGCGCGGAGAAGACGGTTAACAGGAAGATAGAGAGTTAATTAATTAAAAGAAACAAAAAAGATGATGCGAGAGAGAGAGAGAATGAGTGGCGAGCGACAGGGAACAAGTGCGCGAGAGAGCGAGTAAAAGGGGTGGAGAGAAAACAATGAAGAAAAGTTTGCATCGAAATCGCGCCAGACGCGTGAAGCGAATACGCGTTCCGCGAGGGATGACGTCGTTTCTACGAATAGGAAGAAGACGCAATACCATTTTCTGTACAATCGGATGCGATTTCATCTTGAAATTAATTAGCCGCTGTTAATTGTCTGGACTCGATGTGGCCCCGATGGGACGCGTTCGCCATGCGTGCGGCGATTTTAATAGAACTAGGACAAATTTTAAGATGCACACGAATTGTATCTATGAAACGCGTTGCCGATCACTCGACCGTGGCCAAGTATCGTGTCGCGTCCGAAGCCATGAAACGCAAACGAACAATCGTCGAACGTTTGAGGAAAAAAGAAAGAGTTAATAAAGAGGGGCAAGACAAAGAAATTAATATAATCATTTCAATCGAAAATGCGATTCGTCTCACTACGCGCTTGCCACTAGCATAGAAAAAGAGCATTACGAAAGGAATAAAATTAAAGACGCACGAATTGCAATTACTCTAGTCCTAAGTGGTCGACGTTATGCACGATACGAAACTGCGCGACTCGAGTGGTCGGACGCGTCGTCGTCATTTCATTTTCTTCGTTCATTTCTCGAATCTTTGTTTGAACTAAAAAATGTTGTGACGTTGTATCGGGTACCGTTCCATCAAAATTTCAATCAGCAGCAACACGACAAACGCGAAACGGCAAATGCAGCGCTAAAAGATTATTAACCTGAAGAGAATAACGCACGACATGGTCGACAGCAACAACAACAACAACAACAACAATAAAAACTATCAAAAACAATAAAGAGTATTATTCTATATATAACAACAGTGTTGTCATATTCTTTAAATTTTCCTCAACCCCTCCAACGAACGATATCGTGATTCAAAAATAAATAAGAATCTTCAAGAAATTTTCGTAATACGGTTATTTCATCAAATAAAAGACAAGATACACATTATCCTGTACATAAGGAACAGTGAGAAAAGTCCAAGCAAAGTAACGACGGTGTAATGTATCCTCCGTAATTTCTGAAGCTTCTTCCGTGCGTCAGGAATCGAATCGTACGGCTCTTTCATAAGCCGCCGAACGCAGATCAAACCCATTTCCATCTTTTTCGCCCAATCTATTTGTTTCAAGTCGAACGGAAATAGCTTCAAGTCGGCAGCGTTCATACGGCTAAGAATACGTTTCGTTCTGTCCGTTTTTATGACCCAGCTCGAGGAGATAAAGTAAAGTAGAATCTTATGGTGTTTCAACACCTTGAACAGCATTTCAGTCGCCCTAATGGAAAGTACGATGCGATCGGTGAACGCTGAACATTTAAAAATCATTGAAAGAAGAATACATCGATTACTACTCACTTCGGCTTCTTCCCTCGGGTCAGTAAGACCGCGTCGATGATAATAGCGGGAATGACGTGCCAAATTGTGTGCAGTATTAGAAATAGAAGTTTGTTAGAAACCATATAGAGGGTGGGATACCATATCATCTTCGACGTTGGATATTTTTCGATCGCAGTACGGAAGTTCTGCGTCAATACTTTAGTAACGAACGGTTGCCAGTCGGACGACGCGTAATTGTACACCTGCGGTTCATCCGTTTCCCTAAAAAATGTCGATCAGTCGTTTTATTCATCATCTCTGAATTAAATGTCTCGGTTGGTACGGTACCTGTGCTCGACGTAGTCCCAAATGGCCGCCAACAAACTATTGTTCGTGTAGTCGCCAGGAATGAAATCCAAACGGAGATTCTCGTCCATATGCATTACGTGTAATACACCTAAACCCAGTCCTAAAGTCAACGAGACTGGTCCATTCTTGTTCCCTACCCAGGCTTTGATCGGTTCATACTGTGTTTCCGTAACTGTCCCCAAAGTTCGTAATAATAAATCACACCCGTTCTATCGTTAATAAAATACTAACGCTATTTGTATTCTTACCTATGGAAGGCCTGTAGACGAAGCAGGGTAGCGATCTTCTTTTACCGAAGTCCTCGACTATACCCTCGGTGACGGCCTTGCTGAACGCGTACTGGTTCATCCATTTCCCTACAATATCGTCGAGGGCTTCCTTAGAAATTCCGGCAGCGTTCTCTTCATCGACTCGTATGATGTCCTCGATCATCTTTAAATCGCACGGCGGTGCGTAAAATTTTTCTTCGATCGTTTTCGTGTAATGATGAGAGTACGCGGTCGACATGTACACGAACACGTTCAAGTTCGGACATTCAGCCGCTAGTTCGAGCATCTTCTGCGTTCCGAGCACGTTGGTCCGCAAAATAACAGACACCTTCGCCTTAAAGTACACCATCGACGCGTTGTGAATGATTATGTTCACGTTGTTCACCAAACGCTGACGATCCTCTGCCGAGAGGCCCAAGTCGGGTTTGTACAGATCACCGTGGATCATAATCACCTTATCCGTAAAGTTTGGATTCATAGCACGCAACTTGTCGAACACCTGTAGACGTTATGTTTAGTGAAACGATGAAACGACATGATTGAATCTGTAGTATCATAATTACTCACGTCGCATTGGAACAATTCCTCCATTCGTTTCTGCATAGTGACGTTCTTCTTTGGTCGAATCATGATGTAGATCTTGCCGATGTCGGTGCACGTGCGGAGGAGCTTCTCCAAGATGAGCGTGCCACAGAACCCGGTGCATCCCGTCAGGAATACGTGTTTGCCGGCGTAAAATTGGACTATCTGACTCTCGGTATCGTTCTTCCAGTTGTACTTCTTTGCAGAGTTCATGTTAAAACGATTGTTTGTCGTATAGTATGTCGTATTGCGAGCGTTCGAAAATTTAATCAGAACGTTACATAGAATTTTCGAATCATTCCACGTCGAGGAGATTCAGCGTTCTGCAGCTGTTGTTCCATAGCCGCTGCAGATTTATAGTCATTTACTTATACATCATTTATTTATGTATACATATTCACGGTGAGAAGTCAATCATTCCTATTCCATTATCATAATCAGGTTTTAGGTCGAACAGTGAACGTCCGGTAGAAACGGAAGAAATATGGATATATAAGTAGAGGATTTATAAATATCTTTAAAGCGTATTAATTAAACACGATTTACCATTCCCTTCGTTTCCATACTGTCACGCAATATCAATGCAAAGTACGTGCGTAACTATCCACAGTAGTCGAGGGTTCGTTCTCACATAGATCAGAAAAGGAAACATCGCCATTTTTATTAATTTATTTCCATGTTTCGAGATACATTAACTTTCGGTCTAAGACCTCACTCTCTCGACATTGCAGGGGAAAAAGGAAAGATGACAAAAAAACATTAGATGTTAACTATGTTCAGGAATAAATCATCGTAAAGAAATAGAAAAAGACAAGGACCGGGATTAGAGTTATCGTGGAGTAGTGCAGTATTTTCAATTTTTCAAGTCTCTTCTGCGCGTACGGAATCGTCTCCATCGGGTCTTTGACAGCATTGCGAGTGTATAGGACAACTGTGTCGGTGAAAAAGCACCAGTTCACCAGATTTAAGTCGAATAAAAATTCGTCTAAATCGGTGATAAAATTTTATCGTATCGTAATTTAATCGATCGTAAAATTTTTCTTCAATGGTTCATGTAATGATGAGAGTACATGGTCGACACGTATACGAACGCGTTCAAAGGGCATTGAGCCGCTAGTTCGAGCATCTTCTGCGTGCCGATCACTTTGGTTCGCAAAATAAGGGATACCTTCGCCTCGAAGTACACCACGGACGCGTTATGAATGATTATATTCACATTGTTCACCAAACGCTGACGATCCTCCGTCGAGAGGTCCAAGCCGGGTTTGGATAAATCACCATGAATCAGACTGATCCTACCGATAAAGTTTGGATCGTTCTTAATTTGTTGAATTCAATCGTATTTGGCAGAGCGAACCAGTTGACCGCTGGAGACAATACCATAGATAGAACTTCAAGCACGATTTACTCAAGCTTACTACGTACAAAAACCGGAATAGTCCAAAGATACTTGACGTAGCCGTGGAAATTCCGGAAAAGCTGGTATCGCACATTTTCAAAGAAATATGTACAACGTAATTAATGCACACGTGTACCTCATTCGAACATTTGAATTTAAATATTGAAGTCAATTACAGGCATTCGTTACGACGCAATGAACAGAGTGTACTAGGAGAATAAATTAACTATCGGAATAAATTTCACTGCGAATTGTTACAT